TAAAGGAGGACTTTACGTACGCGTAAAGTAGCAGGTATAAAGGAGAACTTTACGTACACGTAAAGTAGCAGGTGTAAAGGAGGACTTTACGCACACGTAAAGTAGCAGGTATAAAGGAGGACTTTACGAACACGTAAAGTAGCAGGTATAAAGGAGAACTTTACGTACACGTAAAGAAGCAGGTGTAAAGGAGGACTTTACTTACACGTAAAGTAGCAGGTATAATGGAGGACTTTACGTACACGTAAAATAGCAGGTGTAAAGGAGGACTTTCCGTACACGTAAAGTAGCAGGTACAATGTATAAAGGAGGACTTTACGTACAGATAAACTAGCAGGTGTAAAGGAGGACATTACGTACACGTAAAGTAGCAGGTGGAAAGGAGGACTTTACGTACACGTAATCTAGCAGGTGTAAAGGAGGACTTTAGGTACACGTAAAGTAGCAGGTGTAAAGGAGGGCTTTATGTACACGTAAAGTAGCAGGTATAATGGAGGACTTTACGTACACGTAAAGCAGCAGGTGTAAAGGAGGACTTTACGCACACGTAAAGTAGCAGGTATAAAGGAGGACTCTGCCTACATGAAAAGTAGCACGTATAAAGTAGGACTTTACGTACACGTAAAGTAACAGGTATAAAGGAGGACTTTACGAACACGTAAAGTAGCAGGTATAAAGGATGACTTTACGTACACGTAAACTAGCAGGGGTAAAGGAGGACTTTACGTACACGCAAAGTAGCAGGTATAAAGGAGGACTTTACGTACACTTAAAGTAGCAGGTGTAAAGGAGGACTTTACGTACACGTAAAGTAGCAGGTATAAAGGAGGACTAGGTATGATGATACCTATTGACTTATACCTTTAATCGTCCAAACAAATTGACACAGCGATATTTGGCGTTCACAAACATCAGATCGATATCTGTGGTACTTAGTACATCTTATACCAACACGTGACGCTAATTAACGGTGTGGTGTACTACAGAGAGTATGAGGAGTGATGCTTGGCGCTAGACAAACAGAACACTACCGATACTCGGGGCGTATTAAAGTCACCGTGTTTATGGTGCGTGGGTGTCGCTAGACGGGAGCAAAAGCATCCCTATAAGTATTACACTCACATGTTACAAGTTTCGCTTGCTGTCGAAAATGAAATTTTGGCTCACTTTTTGACAGTCATTAATTATGTTCCTGTATGATTTCCACCTACTACTTGTTGTTAAGGGAGTGAGGTCCCCAATCCTAGCACTCCCTTTGTATTGCCACGGGAAATACAAGGTCGGGGAAATATTCTTTTTATTCTACCTTCCATCCGTTATCTTACTCAGGGACAGTATATATACTATACGTCCCTGTCTTACTGTACTATATGTATTCGTACTTAACCATGTATTCTATTTTATCACTCAACCATTTATTTTATTCTAACTGAACTATATATTCTATCGAACCATTTTTACCATTAACTTATATCAACTGAACATTTAATATGTTCTTAAATAACTGTACATTCTATATTCTAACTTATAACCATATTTCCTACTTTAACATAATCATATGTACCTCAAATGTCCAACCTAAGCGTACATTCGGTATATCATATTCTCACGGAATAATTTATTCAATATATTCTAAAAGCAATACAATATTAACATTGTATCTTAACAAAAATATGTATGTATGCATTCAAAATTACTTGTAACCTTCTTAACTGGACAACATGTTATGCAATCAGATCAGACACGGTATTTGCTAAATATGAACCATTCTAAAAACAATAAGTTCCAGTTCAAATAGTTGCTTCCGGTATTAATATTTACTTCCGGTTTACAGTGGAAATTGTTATGGCTTTGTGTGTGTGATTTTGTTTCCTGACACGCAAACGATAAATATATCAAAGCTGTTATGGTGTTAAAGGGCACACTAAAGACTCTCGAGTTTTTTAAATCGGGATATTTTATCGAAGAAATTCATCAAGGTTTATTCGTCTCCCTCGACGCGAGCACAGCACTGAGCTACAGATCGACCATCTCTATAAATGGCCTGTTCATATATAATCTTCACGTTTAATCAGGTGTCTTTAGTTTTTATTATTGTTTATGACGAACAACGGATTAAAACTACCTTTAAGAATATCCTCTATTCGGAATAGGTACGTTAGTTCCTCATATCGAGAGCAGGATGGCTTGTCTAAGATCGGGATTTATCAATAATTAGCGACTGATGTATCGAGTTAATGGTGAAAGCTGAGGAGTTAAAGAATGTAAGGTTATCAGTAGCATTGGGACTAGATCACAGACAACGACCCAACATGACATAAACATAATCGTAAACATTGTTCACAACACAACCAATGGACCGAAACAAAAATATTAATTTACACCGGATATTGCCACTATGCGTCCTGAAGGAACGTGATGGGTTGTCAAGGTCGACATTCGATATCACATCCGGTGTTCCAATGGTGCCATGGAACATTAATCACGATTGAATCATGTGTAATATAGACGGACGTCGAGTTGGAAGTTGTCAAACCTAAACAGTAAACGGCCTTGTATATTCGCTCTCCCTTGTAGAATTACTACACATTGCTTTATTGTCTGTTCAGTGATTAGTGTGTTATATTAGTATGCAATAGCCAATTGAATTAACGGATCAGCATGTGAGGGTTATGAATGCATGAACGACCAAATGACCGTCTGCCTCTCATCAGGGAACACGAGTGAAGCCGCATGCTTCGTCATTTCTAGCCATATAGATCCATATTAAGGTCTCAAAAACAGTAACCTTTTGTGAAAAAGAAACTATCGTTTAAACGAATACTGATTCAGCGTACATTGTTACAAAAGTCATTAACTTAATGAAGACACCCCGGGGTTCTTAACTGGTGCGATTTAGGTTTTTGAATTAGATATTGTGTTCACAATAAGCGCTACCTTGTGATCATTTTCCATTTCCCCTCTCTCATCTCTTGTAAGTTAAGGAGCAGATTATCTTGAAATTCTATTGAAATGATGATGCTACAATTTGAAATTAATTCATAAATATAAAACTAGCATCTCTTTTGTTTTTGGGAACAATTCCTGCAAAGGCTTTTCATAAACCGTTCCCCCTCCCCGTGTCATTTTTACGTCATCAAAACACAGAATAAGGCTGAGAAAAATGCATTTAAAATCAAGCAGAGTATAGATTTCCCCTTATCTGAACACTTCACATGTACGGAGGGATTCCCTGACAGGGGTACAACTACCAACAGATAACTAATCTGGTATTTGTGGGAGACTTAGCTCCCGTCTGCTGTACTTGAGTGACATGTAGATCGGTGGATGTTGAACTGTAGGGATTAACCCTGTTTACAATACACTCGAGGACGGCAGGTAGGGTCTATACGACAAGTTATCTCGCGTGTAATCTAACAAACCCCCAAATAAACAGGTAATATTGATCAATAGCTTTGTTTACATAAACTGCCATGATTCACCAATTTTCACACATTATACCGGCGTGTATAGTATATAAGTTTTCTTGTGCATTTTCAGTCGGAAAGACGATTCTCAACTAACACAAACACTTTGACATTTTTTCATAATTGCAAAAAAAAAAGCGTATTTGTTTGCAAACAAAACATGCATGTAAGTTACCTAAACTGATTTGTTTAAACATGTGCTGTATAACAATATTAGTGACATCATTCTTCTGGTCTGACAGCGTTGTCGTATAGTTACGTCACAAAATCGACAGATAATTTAGTTTTCTGTAACAAGCTCGGCTGAAATAGTGATGTGCAGTATTTTGCTATACATTTTTGAATATTAAATTTTCATTAGTCATCATCTGCCGATTCCGTATTATCACTGTAGGATTAAGATACAATTAGAAAATAGGTTTCATTTCAGCATTGGAGTCATTGATAATAGTCTAACCCAGATATTTAACAGAGTTTTCTATCGTTTTTACAAGCCGTCCAGGATTTCATGACGTATAATATATACATTTAATTTCTGCATCAGGTTACTTATACAATGGTGGACGATTTTCCCTATTTCAATATAATTAGATATAAGTTTTTATAATTCTCTCACATTAATAGCAACTGAACATACAAGTTTGATTAAATATGACACACTTTTCATCTTGTAATTTTGTTGTATTTTTTATTGTATTTTTTTTTACGGTAAGGGCTTTATATAAGTTGTATAACTTGTGCCAAATCCAGTTGCATTATGGCAATAAAATATGTTTAAATAAAAAAAAACTTTTCATCGTTTTCTTTGAGATGGGACTTATTTCGACCGGAGTCGCACTGCAAAACAAAACTGATATTGCATTGTTTCGCAAACTCCTTGTCCCGGGGACAGATAACCGAAGTTCCTTGGTAGACTTACCTGATGTGTAGCTCGTGTCATCATCCCCATGCTTCGCTTACCCCCAGGAGGACAGTTCCTAATGAAACACCCCTGACAGTCCAGGACAAGCACACACAACAAAACACACGTTAGACAAAGTCTAGTGGATACGTATAGTCTCCATTCCATATCTGTAGTTTGTGGAAGTTCTTTAAGGTAAGGTAGAGCCACACGAAAGCTACACGGGTAAGTAGTCCTCTTGGAATTTCCTTGACTGTTGATAAATACGAAGACTGAGCGTATTGTGGTGCCACCCTGCCTTTTTGCCGCCTTTTGATAATACACTCACGTGTACAAAATCTCTAACTTTTCGCACCTTTCCCCGGTATTTTATTATCTCCTGTAATTAAAACTTTGTTACATCTCAAATGTATACGCCTCTGATATTCTCTTTTTCTCTGTCCTCGCACTAGAACTGTTTGATACGATGTGAACGGCGGATACTGCGGACGATGGCTAGCGGGGATCACAGATTTCGGGGTATATGTAGGAGCCGGTGGGCTGGGGCGGGATCGATAGATAGCTACCTCAGGCTCACCGCCTCGTATTATAGCTATCTAGGTACGTGTTAGGAGAGTCACGTGGTACTCCACGACATTTAGCCAGATAGGGATATACAGGGATGGGTCCACACAAGCTACACGCGGGCCTCAATATGTCATAATCTTACATAAAATACATGATAGACGACAGCGCTGTAGATAAAAATAGAGATGATTTCTCTCGTTTCGTGTTTAAAGAGATCGTTGAAACTTTGAGGGTAGGATAGTTATAAATTTAATGTGATTTTGCATCACCTTAAATGGCGTTAGAGACCTATATTTATAGATGTTTTAATGTCATTAATAGGCATTACTTTATGGTATCAATAAATGTTTCGTAAGAGATAAACCGTGTACCATCACTTTACTATTGTATAAACCCAATAGCTTTGGCGATCTTCTCAATTTGTTTGTTTCTTGATTGGCCAAGAGAAAACAACGGTCACGAATCAATCACCTGTTACAGCTATCAATTGCATTTATTGTTTATAAGATTCTTTACAATTTGTAATATTGACGGCACGTTGTAATAACTTGGACACTGTTAGGCGCCAGGTTGATACATTTCGTTCGTGCATCGGTAAGGCGTGTTTACCACAGTGTCTGATTCATTCCTATTCATAGACCGATGACATCAATATGTGACGAAATAACGTGAACAATGTTGTAATAACTGGCATGTTTGTAAACAACTAGAGTGCACTATATCTCGTGCGAGTTAACTTCCGGTAGCTTGTCAGTATGTACTTCCTGTGGTGGCGTAAATTTCATCACTGTTAAAATATAATACAGGTACCACTGAACAATTAATTGCAGTGTTGCGCAAGTATGTGTATATTTTTAAACGAAAACGTTAATGGTATAAGGTGCTGCGTCACTTGACACGTAGGAGTATGATCTTATGAGGGACAGGATTGGTTCAACGTCAGGATGCTAATGGGGTGTACATGTCGTGTTCGTGATTTGCACGTGACATGTTGCGTAATCCTAACACGATCAGGCATCGTCAAGTGTTTTACAAACACTTAGACCCTCACTGTTTAAAAAATTCACAGGAGCAGACATCGTCAAGCATTTCTCAAACAAGTAACCCTTCACAATCTAAAGATTTACAAGAGCAGGCATCATCAATGATGTCAAAAAATAGGTAACGCGTGACAGTTTAAAGCGTCTGGATGTACATGACAACTATGGCCGCGGGAATGCGATATATAGTCCAAGTCTCTAAGGTGCTTGACGAGTACACAATAACTCTGTGTTTTCAAAATCTATGAAGCATAAAGTTTTTAACTAGGTAAAGGCTGGAATAAATACTATCATTTCCTCAAATAGCGACATGCCTTAACACACAAACCGAACATTTTCCATGTAAATTTATGGATGTTAAAACCTTAATACAATATTGCGCTACCTGTCATTTACAATATTACAATGCTGTATTCCTGTCAATGATGAGCTGTCAGTTAAATATAACAATGTTGTACTCCCGTGAACGATGTGCTGTCAATTACAATATAACAATGCTGTACTGCCGCCAATCATGAACTATCAATTACAATATAACAATGTTATACTTCCGTGAACGCTGTGCTGTCAATTACAATATAACGATGCTGTACTGCCGCCAATCATGAACTATCAATTACAAAATAACAATGTTGTACTCCCGTGAACGCTGTGCTTTCAATTACAATATAACAATGCTGTACTGCCGCCAATCATGAACTATCAATTACAATATAACAATGTTGTACTGCCGTCAACACTGTGCTGTCAGTTACAATATAACAATGCTGTACTGCCGCGAACGCCGTGCTGTCAGTTACATTTATATAACAATGTTGTACTGCCGTGAAAACTGTGCTGTCAGTTACAATATAACAATGTTGTACTGCCGTCAACACTGTGCTGTCAGTTACAATATAACAATGTTGTACTGCCGTTAACGCTGTGCTGTCAGTTACAATATAACAATGTTGTACTTCCGTGAACGCTTTGCTGTCAGTTACAATATAACAATGTTGCACTGCCGTGAACGTTGTGCTGTCAGTTACAATATAACAATGTTGTACTGCCGTCAACGCTGTGAGGTCAGTTACAATATCACAATACTGTACTGCCGTCAACGCTGTGTTGTCAGTTACAATATAACAATGTTGTACTTACTGCCGTCAACACTATGCTGTCAGTAACAATATAACAATGCTGTACTCCCGTCAACATTGTGCTGTCAGTTACAATATAACAATGTTGTACTGCTGTTAACGCTGTGCTGTCAGTTACAATATAACAATGTGGTACTGCCGTTAACGCTGTGCTGTCAGTTACAATATAACAATGCTGTAATGCCGTCAACGCTGTGTTGTCAGTTACAATATAACAATGTTGTACTGCTGTTAACGCTGTGCTGTCAGTTACAATATAACAATGCTGTAATGCCGTCAACGCTGTGTTGTCAGTTACAATATAACAATGTTGTACTTACTGCCGTCAACACTATGCTGTCAGTAACAATATAACAATGCTGTACTGCCATCAACATTGTGCTGTCAGTTAGAATATAACAATGCTGTACTGACGCCAACGCTGTGCTGTCAGTTACAATATACCAATGCTGTCCTGCCGTCAACACTGTGAGGTCAGTTACAATATCACAATGCTGTACTGCCGTCAACGCTGTGCTGTCAGTTACAATATTACAATGTTGTACTGCCGTCAACGCTGTGCTGTCAATTACAATATAACCTACTATATAACAATGTTGTACTGCCGTCAACGATGTACTGTCAGTAACAATATAATAATTCTGCTCTGCCGCCAATGCTGTGCTGTCAATTATCATATAACACGTCAACGCTGTGCTGTCAGTTACAATATTACAATGTTGTACTGCCGTCAACGCTGTGCTGTCAATTACAATATAACAATGTTGTACTGCCGCCAACGCTGTGCTGTCAGTAACAATATAACAATACTGTACTGCCGTCAACATTGTGCTGTCAGTTACAATATAACAATGTTGTACTTACTGCCGTCAACACTATGCTGTCAGTAACAATATAACAATGCTGTACTCCCTTAAACACTGTGCTGTCAGTTACAATATAACAATATTGTACTGCCGTCAACGCTGTGCTGTCAGTTACTATATAACAATGTTGTACTGCCGTCAACACTATGCTGTAAGTAACAATATAACAATGCTGTACTCCCGTCAACGCTGTGCTGTCAGTTACAATATTACAATGTTGTACTGCCGTCAACGCTGTGCTGTCAATTACAATATAACAATGTTGTACTGCCGTCAACGCTGTGCTGTCAATTACAATATAACCTACTATATAACAATGTTGTACTGCCGTCAACGCTGTGAGGTCAGTTACAATATCACAATGCTGTACTGCCGTCAACGCTGTGCTGTCAGTTAGAATATAACAATGCTGTACTGCCGCCAACGCTGTGCTGTCATTTACAATATAACAATGCTGTACTGCCGCCAACGCTGTGCTGTCAGTTACAATATACCAATGCTGTCCTGCCGTCAACACTGTGAGGTCAGTTACAATATCACAATGCTGTACTGCCGTCAACGCTGTGCTGTCAGTTAGAATATAACAATGCTGTACTGACGCCAACGCTGTGCTGTCAGTTACAATATAACAATGTTGAACTTCCGTGAACGCTTTGCTGTCAGTTACAATATAACACTGTTGCACTGCCGTGAACGTTGTGCTGTCAGTTACAATATAACAATGTTGCACTGACGTGAACGTTGTGCTGTCAGTTACAATATAACAATGTTGCACTGACGTGAACGTTGTGCTGTCAGTTACAATATAACAATGTTGTACTTACTGCCGTCAACACTATGCTGTCAGTAACAATATAACAATGCTGTACTCCCGTCAACGCTGTGCTGTCTGTTACAATATAACAATGTTGTACTGCCGTCAACGCTGTGAGGTCAGTTACAATATCACAATACTGTACTGCCGTCAACGCTGTGTTGTCAGTTACAATATAACAATGTTGTACTGACGTCAACATTGTGCTGTCAGTAACAATATAACAATGCTGTACTCCCTTAAACACTGTGCTGTCAGTTACAATATAACAATGATGTACTGCCGTCAACACTGTGCTGTCAGTAACAATATAACAATGCAGTACTCCCGTCAACGCTGTGCTGTCAGTTACAATATTACAATGTTGTACTGCCGTCAACGCTGTGCTGTCAATTACAATATAACCTACTATATAACAATGTTGTACTGCCGTCAACGCTGTGAGGTCAGTTACAATATCACAATGCTGTACTGCCGTCAACGCTGTGCTGTCAGTAACAATATAACAATACTGTACTGCCGTCAACATTGTGCTGTCAGTTACAATATAACAATGTTGCACTGACGTGAACGTTGTGCTGTCAGTTACAATATAACAATGTTGCACTGACGTGAACGTTGTGCTGTCAGTTACAATATAACAATGTTGCACTGCCTTGAACGTTGTGCTGTCAGTTACAATATAACAATGTTGTACTTACTGCCGTCAACACTATGCTGTCAGTAACAATATAACAATGCTGTACTGCCATCAACGCTGTGCTGTCAGTAACAATATAACAATACTGTACTGCCGTCAACATTGTGCTGTCAGTTACAATATAACAATGTTGTACTGCCATCAACACTGTGCTGTCATTTACAATATAACAATGTTGTACTGCCGTCAACACTGTTCTGTCAGTTACTCTATAACAATGTTGTACTGCCGTCAACGCTGTACTGTCAGTAACAATATAATAATTCTGCTCTGCCGCCAATGCTGTGCTGTCAATTATCATATAACACGTCAACGCTGTGCTGTCAGTTACAATATACCAATGCTGTACTGCCGCCAACGCTGTGCTGTCAATTACAATATAACAATGTTGTACTGCCGTCAACGCTGTACTGTCAGTAACAATATAATAATTCTGCTCTGCCGCCAATGCTGTGCTGTCAATTATAATATAACAATGCTG